ATAATTGTGACTTTCTTCTTCTAACATATTATGACAGCTAATTAGAACAACTGTTAAATTCATCTAAATCAGTTCCCTTTTGCTATACATATTTTTCTTGTTAATGAGTAAATCTGCTTGGCTTATCAGTTGTCTCACTGTATTACTTCAATATTATTTCTTATTTGAACTTTTTGTCTCTTGCATGGTACAGGTATAGTCAAGTTGTTTCTACAACCTATATCTATTGAGTAACATCTCGGCATGTTTCAACAGCAATAAGGTTTTTGTTGTTGAAGGAAAACAGACACTTTAAAAATTACTGTCTGTTGATTTTATTATTGCATTTCACATAGTACTCTAATTTCTTAATTTATTAATTCTTTTCCTAGAACAGGTGACCTGGAAAGAAAAGTGATTGACTATTTGCAGTGTTCTAATTGTGGCTAAACAGCAAGAGAGATATTTGACCCTTGGGATGTGTTATTTCAACCTGTAAATATATTCAGCTATATTTAATTTTTTAGTCTGCCATAGGCTTTCCTGTTTTTAAAGCCCTTCTACCCAACCTTTCTTAAGATTCTTATGATTTTTTTCAGTAATTCCAGAGGTACGAACAGACAGGATAAGGTCCTTTTCCAATAATTTCATGATCATCCTTTTGTACATATGTGTATTTAGGTCCAGAGTGCCACATAAACCTGAAGCCATTCTGCAGTCCCCTTCCAAAATTTATTTCTGGTGAAACTGCTTGTTTCATTTAAGGGCACAGAGACTCCTGACCCCACTGTTATGAAAGAACTTATTGTTTCTTCCAAATTAGAAAGTCTTCCTAGAATGTGCAAATTGTTTGACTGTGGTAGTTCATTCGAATACAGACCTCTTGAAGGAGTTTTAAAACCAGCTTTATTGAAACCCTGTGGCTTTTACAGCACATTGGACCTAAATTAAGCAATAGGGAACCTTCTCTCCATTTATTTCCAGCTGTCCCTTCCAGGCCAGGTGGCATCATCCTACCTTTCAAATTATTTATGTATCTCCCTCATTATTTTATCATGTATTTTAATGAGACAGATTTCTGTCCTCTGGCACTATGCAAGTTGTCAGAGTAATCTTGGATGGAGCAGGCAGGGATTTTTGGTAATCAGAAAAATACAGCATGATTTTTGGTTTCAGGTATTTGTATTTGCTGTCATGAAGTAGAGGATGCGTTTTCATAACTTCTTTTTTGAGGCTAAATGGAAGCAATTCCTTACATGGGAAATGAGTTACATAGCTTTGCTTGTCATCTCTGCAAAATACCTCATTTTTATCCAAACTGAAGTGGTGATGGATACTAACTAATAATGCTAAAATTGTTGTCTGGTGAAGTTTTAGTATATTTTAAGATGGAAAGTTATGTCAAGACCTCCTCAATCACTTGTGAGCACCTCTAAGACTTAGTTACCATTTAAAAAAAAATTTTACCAGCTGCAATGTATAAGAACATCAGACTAGACAATAAGAGCAGTATGGAGGATTTTGGGGTGGGCTAAAAGTTTTCCCTGGGGTAGGACAGTGATGGGTCCCTGGTGTGATATTCTGTTGAGAGGGCAAGCTCAAGGTGCTGCTTGGCACAGAATAAAGCAGAATAAATGTTGTTTTCCTGTTTTCTGGTTGAGTAGCTATAGTCTGGGTTGAGCTGTGTGGCAGCTTTTATTACCTGCTTCATTCTACATGCAGAAAGGTGTTCAGCACTGGTGGTGCTTGTAAGGAGAAGCTGTGCTGGAGGGGAAGGCAGAGGTGGGGCCAGAAGGGTCACTGACTCTCCCTGCAACTGCTTCTTGAAAACAAAACTTGGGAAAATCCTCTAACTCACTGATGTCAGCTAGTAATATAAATTGTAGAGTGAATTATAGGAATGAGCAAATCTCTCTAGCTGTTATTTGGTAATGACATGATGAACTTAAGGCACACTTGTCTACTCTTGGAATGGCTTGCAGTGAGCTGACTTGCTTAGGGGTCAGTGGCAGCTGCCTTTTCTCCAAATCTGTAATTTCCCTGAACACTGCTTGGGGCTGAGGCTGAGCAGGCTACAGTAATGGCAGCCTTAGGATATTGCTGAGGTGACCTCCACATGGGGCCCAGATGAGAAAGGTGTGGAGGGAGCAATGTGGTGCAGTGCCATGCTCCCCTTGGTGTGCCTTTTTCAGCCCGTGTCCCTGGAGCTGGAGGCTTTGTGGCTCTCAGAACCCTAGTCCTAATGACAGCTTGGGACTGGGACTGAGATCCCCAGCACTGTGTGCAGCCCAGATGAGAAAGGTGTGGAAGGAGCAGTGCCACGCTCCCCTTGCAATGCTTTTAGCAGCCCCAGTGTCCCTGGAGCTGAGCTGTAGTCTTTGTGGGTCTTGGAGCCATAAATCTAACCCTAATCCTAGTGGCAGCATGTGGTTGAGGCTGAGGAGCCCACAACCATGGGTGAGCCAGATGAGAAAGGTGTGGAGGGAGCAATGTTGATGCACTCCATGCTCCCCTTGGTGTGCCTTTTGTAGCCTCAGTGTCCCTGGAGCTGGAGGTTTTGTGGCTCTGAGAACTGTACATCTTAGGGCAACCCCAAGCACAGAACTTGCAGCAGAAGTTCAAGCTGAGCATATTATATGGATTGCCAACTGGATTGTGATTTCTAATTACTCATCTGACTTATCTCAGATTAATTCAGAGCTCAGTCACCTACCAAGAGTCTTCATTTTATGAAATGTGTTGATACTAAATAATGGATGTTGGTAAACATGATTCTGCATTATGTTTTGCATGAATGCTTTGAGAGCTCTCTGTAATTTTTATGATTTTAAAAGGATAACTTACAGAAATCATCTTCTGTGTCTATGTTTGTACATACGTATGTATTCGCAAGGGAAATTTTCATGCTGTTTATCTTTTCTTTTTCAGTCAAAACCTGTTGCATTTGCAGTTCGGACAAATGTTGGGTACAGTGCAGCTCATGATGACGATGTTCCAGTCCCAGGCATGGCCATCTCATTTGAGGCTAAAGATTTTCTTCACGTTAAAGAAGTAAGTAAAACCGGAGGCATAAGCGAATTTCTCTTTAAGGATATATTTGAGTAATAGAGCTACTCTTTCATAATGTTGATAAACACTTCATGTTGTCAAAGCACCTTACAAATGTTATGTAAACAAGGTAACTGTAAGAAATTGTGTGTTCTTTCAAATGTTGTTCTTGTAGAAGCAATGGTACAAATTCCTTACAGTCAAATCAATGAAGTTTCTTCTCTAGTAAAAATCACTTATTTATAGCTTTAAAAAAATCTATATCTGGCTATTCAGCATTGCAGGTCAAATAAGGTGGTAATCTCAGATTTTACATCAAGTGTTTCCTCTGTTTCCATAGGAACCAGAAACACAGTGTTGGCAGTTTTTTGTGAAAGTTTATGCCTTTTTCCTCACAGCACAACTTAGTCACAGATGCACATATACATGGGAGAAAAGGAGGAAGAGTTTCCTGAACTTTCCTGGATGTCCAGAAATGCCTTGAAAGGAAGTTTAGCACAGCTGAGTTGTTACACTGTCTGTGGTTCCATGTAGCACTGAGGGACGGAAAAGTAGATTAAAATGTTCTTGCAGCTTCAGCTATACTGGCAGAGGCATGCTGTGCTAATTGCCTTTAAAAACACCTGGTTTTCTATCTAAACTGTCAAGGAAGGTTGGCTGTCTAGCAGTGCTAGGCAGGAGGTGTGTTGTGGAAGGGACACTGTGCCTGAGCCAGGGGCATCACTCAATGGAGAGGTGGGAAGAGTTCTGCAAGGACTCAGACTTCAGCTTGGACTCAGTGGTCCTGCATTTGGCCACAGCTGTTGTGTCTGGGTGGGCTGAACCTCCTCAGGAGGGTGTCCTGAGCCTTTCCCTGCACAGCTGTGTCCTGCCCCTCCAGCTTCCACTCACTCTCCAGGGCTCTGTGTCCCACCAGACACTGTTCCTTATTGTTCCTTCCTTTGGTGCTCCCTAGAGTTAATGCTGGGAGATCTGGAATGTTCAAACTTTAATTATTTATGCAGATTAAAGGCAGAATCACCCCCATATTTTACTATAAAATGCAGTATTGGTTTATATTTTATAAGTTAAATCTAAGTTAAACTCTGATAACTTTTGCCTGCATGGATCAATACTGGACCAATGCTGTTCTCTTGTTTGCAAGGTCTGTTCTCCAATTTGTGCTGCTGGGAGGGCTCAAACAAGAAAAACCTCAGTTCAAAACATGAACAATGGTGAAAAGTACTGCAGTGACTGAGTATGAGGGAAATTTATTTGCATTATTAGGTTATATTCATTACAACTCAGTACACATGAAGATGAAGGATTCCTTCCTGCACCAAGAAACGTGTGCTGCATCATAGTCACTTCTGAGTCTTTTGAGGCTTTAATGCATGGTCATAATTTCGCTTTGTGTTTAATTCATGTTTGTGTTTTGCTTGGCACTCTAAGCACAGCTGAATTACATAAAATCATCCAAAGCAGCCAGCACCTCGAGAGCTGGACACCTCGCTACCAAGATTTCCACCATTGCTTTTTAAAATTAGAAAGGAGTATGTGTGGTATTATTTACTTACCGAAGCATCTTATACTGACACAGCATTTCATATACTGACACAGCATTTAGCTTTGAGACTTTGCAGAAGTGAATTCCACGTGCTTTTATTTTTGTATGAAAGAAAAAAATCTTATGGATTTAGCATTCTTAACACTTCTAATAAAATTAATGTTGTTGCTTAGTAATCTTATGCTGTAGGACAGCATAAAAAGATAGTGGCTTATCAGATTGTAATTTTTAAATAATTTATCTCTTCCTTTTACCAAGTTAATGATTTACTTAGCATTTTGCAATGAGAGGTTATAATTTTAGTAATATGCTTCAGTCTAATACAGCTTTGAGAAACTTCTATTCCAGATTAGCTCCCTATTAAATGCTGGTATTCTTACTCATAAAGGCATCCTGTTGGATGAATATTATAGAGCTCCTTATATTTTATGAGCTTAAAAGTGCTTTTATTTTAATCTTTATTTTTTGCTAGCTAAATACCTTACAGTTGGTTTCAAGCATCACAGGGTTTCTATAGTTGCCAAAATGAAAGATAATACTGCAATTTAGGCTGTGTATCAATGATCCACCAACAGTGTATTCATGGTAAAATTAATTCCTTTTCATGGGAGCCCACACATTTTACATCTTTTGTTCCTAACTATACACTTGGTAAAGACACTTATTAAATAATTAAATATGCACCATAATGTCTACATTAACAGCTTCAGATTCAAGGAGGCAACTTCACATTCAGGTGTTTTCTTATAGTTTCATAAATAATCTAAATTATCCCAAATCCATATTTGGTGGTAGTTATTCCCATGGAATGCCAAGGGTATTGCATGTAGGGCCATATATGAGTGACCTATTCTCATCCCAAACTGAGGAATAAATAATAATGGGAAAAGCAAATAGTTTTGCTCTACAGACCTCTGCAAAACAAACAACATCCTCCACAAGTATATGAATAAATGTTTTGAATTAGTCATTACCTCATATTTCATATAGCTGAAAGTCAGTTAATTGGACTATCTTGTGGATTTGTATAATTGTAAGGGCTTTTAGTTATCCAAATATATCCATTCCCTGTGGATCTATCAGAGTTTAAGATGCAGATCGCATGAGCTATCTGCAGCAGAGCACGTACAAGCAGCAGAATTTGGTCATATTTCAGGTGATTGTAGTGAATTTGGAGAAGTGGGAGAATTTGAGAAGTAGCATTTTTTTAATTAAAATGAAAACTAAATAAAATGGAATAAGAAAAATTACAGAGCCATGAAAATTGTAGCAGCTGGTAAGAGTAGATCAGAAGCCTCTAGTGTCTACCAAGGAGAAACATGAAAGGAGAATAAAAATAGCTCTCATGTATGAGGGGAAAAGACTGTGAAGCAAGATAAAATAAAGATGGTGAAATGGATGGAAATAAAAGCCAGGAAGGAACATGAAGTCTGTGAATGAAGGTTTCTGCTTAAGCACTGTGGATTTTAATAATTTGAAAGAAATAATTATTTTAATGTATTTCTGAATATTACCACAATTCTTCATTGCCGTAATAACATAGCACAGCAATTAACTGCAGGGAAGAATTACAAAAATTGACATAGCTGCAAATTAAAGCTAATAACAAAATGATCCCAGATCAAGCAATTTCTTAGTATGTCACTTTTTTTCTTTTCTTTTTAATCTGTAGAAATTTAATAATGACTGGTGGATAGGACGATTGGTAAAAGAAGGCTGTGAAATAGGATTCATACCAAGCCCAGTCAAACTAGAAAACATGAGGCTGCAGCATGAACAAAAGGCAAAACAAGGAAAATTCTACTCCAGGTAATAACAAGAAATCATTAAAAACAGTAGCATTGTCTGTGACACAACTTGGAAATTAATGCTGTGTATCTCTTATATGTATGCTTAATTATTGTAAATAGCAGCTACAAACATCTTGTATCAATTAAGACAGTAATATATAATTAATTATATATTATTGTAGAATATATAATGCTTTTATATTACTAATGCATAATCTAATTCTTGTCATTGCTGTTTGAGCGAGAAAGTAGATATTTAGATTGGTGATATGTGGTGACCTACAATGGCAATGGTTCCCTTTTGTTTTCGTAAAATATTTGCTAATATGCATTGCAGTCAGTGCATTTACTATGTGCAAGCACAATTTTTGGCTTAAAAATTGTTCTATCTAAATCCTGTGGCATTTGTCACGTTGTTTTTTGTGTGTGTGTGATCTTGCAGTTTCTAAACACTTTCAAAGCTCATTTTAGGAATTAGAGAAAATGTTAAGATTAATTGATTTGTAAGATGAAGCCAGTGCCTGTTAGTTAGCTCCTAGGGCAAAAATGGTCTTATCAAATTCATTGCCTATAAATACAGCTTTTAAGAATACTCCAATTTTATGATGGAAGTTTCATGTCAAGTCATTTGTTATCTCTGACTGAAGCCATCATTGCATAAGAAAAAAGATGCAGTATCTAGATGTATTGAACAGTACTGCAAGATGGTAATAATGTCATCTTTACTGTAGAATTCTTAATAAAGTAGTTTTACAGTAAACGTTAACAGATGTGGGAGCAAATACCACTTGTTTTCCTTTGGGCATATAGGAAACAAATATTTCCAGCATATCTGAGCAAGATAGACATGGAATTGTGCTAGGAATCATTTGGGAAGCCAGAAACGCTTTCCTAACTCAGTAGCAAGGGCAGCAGTGTTTGAGGACACCATGATGCTGCAGTGCTCAGCTGCATTTGCCAGCTGTGAAATGCCTTTCCCGTGAGTGTGCTGTCCTCAGCAGGAGGATGCCAGTTTCCTGATTCCTCTATGGCACTTTGATACAGCCAGATCTGTCCCAGTGATTCAGTCCCTTTCCAAATCCTTCCATTCTCCAGAACTTCTCACTGAAGATAGCATTGTCCTACACCACAAATGCATTAACTTGGTGCTTATTAATATTTTAAGATAGGGAAAGTGGAAACTAGTATTATCACATGAATTATTTGAGGAGTGAAATGGCATTTCTTATATTCTTTTCAGAGCTTTTCTCATTATGGTGACTGAAATAAAACGACTAAAAGTATTGTTTGGTTTTCACAACTTGGATAGGTTTTCACGAAGCAGAACTTGACAAAACCCTAGACTGCTTTAACTTTGTTTGAGAGACTTTTATTTTCTTTCCTAAGTGCTACCCTGCATTGAGAAAGGAAAAGAATATATACTTTGATTAAATTGAAAAGATGATAGACATACAGTTTCATCTTCATTGGGGGTTTATCAATAAGTTTTCAGTTAAAGGAGAGAGATGCGCTCACTGGCTTAAGAATTGCTCTTAATAATGGGTAGCACTAATAACCATTATATACCAGTAGCCACATTAGTAACTGGATTGCATTAAAGTCATGATGTAGTGAGAGCCACAGAATGAATTGCATAGCAGCACAAGGAGGATGATTGATGCTTGGAGATCCTCAGTCCTCAAAATGTACACACATTTTATGTGAGATGCATATTTTATTCCACTGCCAGAAATCCTGTTTGTCTTACAGCTAACACCTCACTTAGAAGGCAGGTAATAAATAAACTAGTGTAAATGCCAAGGAAGCTATGAACTTCAAACTAATTTGTTACTTTACTCCAGTAAATCAGGAGGAAATTCTTCATCCAGTTTGGGTGACATCGTTCCTAGTTCCAGAAAATCGACGCCTCCATCATCTGGTGAGTAGGTCATGAGCCCTTTGGTTTACAAAATCGTGACCCTAATCTGTTAAAATTGATACACATTTAGTCCTGTTTTTTTCTTATTCCCTGTAGTTCATAGGTAAAATCTTGTTGTTCCATAACCATCTAAGGCTGGTTTGAGGAGGTTTGAAGTAACGGTGTCAATGCCAGCAAGTTCAGGCAGTGATGGAGCTGTTAATGCACAAAATTCCCTCTGCTTTTACTTTGGAGTTTTATAGCAAAGACATAATAAATTGGATAAAGGTTTGGTCTGGTTTGAGCACTCCTACTGACCAGTAAATACTTTCTGGTGCACGAGAAAAAAGCAGCAATGAAGATAAAAGTTCCTGAGAAGTTTCTGCAGTAGCATCAGGAAAGGCATTATTTTAAAACATCAGGAACTTTTAGTTTCACAATTCTAATCATGAGGATGTGCTTCACATAATTCTAGGATACTGGCTATTTCTTGCCTGCTTTGACAAATTTTTCACAAATACTGTTTTTTACTTAAAGCATTAATAGATAGATTTAACTTTAGTCAGGTTGGATTCAAGAGGTTTGAAGCAAATACATGGCAAGTTGGTGGAGGAAGCTGACATTAGCTCCTTGAAAAAAGCATAGCAGAGAAGAAAATCACAAAAAAATAATTCTCCTGAATTCAGCTGCTGCATTGCTGGATGTTTTCACTTCTCATGTATGTTTCTAATACCTGAAGGCAGACAATGTTAGTGACTGTTGCTAGTGCCTTGTCTGCTAGATGTAGTGTACATGTACTACATGTATTTTCCAATCATTCTTATTTATATGGAGCCTGGTCTACAGAGCAAGCATCTTAAAATGAACCTGAAGAATTTAGAGTATTTTCATGGATGTTAAGAGAGAGACAGAGAAATTCAATCATGTGATAGTAGTAGCATCGTTTGATTAAATTAATTGGAAAATATATTTGTCTCTTCTGTGAAACCATGAATTTGTTTGTAGCACCCAACTTTACTACAATTGCAGTTTGTTTTTCAAAATTCCACTTCAGTTTCACTTGTTAGCTTTTTTTATTTTATTTTTTTCAAAATTTACTAATATGTGTCCATCACTACTGTGTAGAACACACCTTAATCTTCTATTTTATGATGGCTTTAAACTGTCACATTTACTACTATAGTCAACTTTTTCAACAGTTGCCTTTTTTCAGTAAAATTATCCATTGACCTATGTTGTAGTTTTATAGTTAGAGCATCGGAAATGCTGTAATACTATTTTGTATCCAAACCCACTTGGAATTTCCAGAATGTGGCACAGAATTTAGAAATATGAAAACAGATAGCACACCGAGGTGAGCAGCTGACTGATTGCAAGCCATCCTGGAATCTTCATTGCATTGAACCATTTCTTCAGACAGCAGTTTTCAGAAACATGGTTTTCTGAAGAAAGAAGGAAATGTGATCAATTTCGTTCAGTTACATTGAAGGTTTGGAAAGTATTTATGAATAGTGCACGTTAGATTATTCTCTGATCTTAAAGATTTTAAGTCTAGATTTTTTTTCCTTAACACATCCCACGAAAGGTGAAAGAGGCATAGTTTCTGACTAACAAAGAACACAAGTGACTTTGAAGTAAAATTCAATTATTATTCCCAGACACTTTTGAATGTATAATCAATTACAAATGCATAAATTATTTAATGAGTTGAAGACATATTAAGCGAATAAGTTACTTTAATTTTTTGACTTTGAGTCAGGGCTGGGGGTTTTTTTCAACATAAAGCAGTGCCACAGGGAAACCAGACCAAACCAAGCCCACAAACAAGATGAAGACACAGTGAAAGACAAATGAAAAGGAGGCTCATATCTATTTAAATAATCAATATTCTATTGGTATAGTGATCAATCCATACAGTCCTTGTGGACCACCAAACTGTGTGAGGATAATGGTGAAAATTACTTTGAAAAATACCCAGTGAACTAAAAGAAGCATCACAGAAGCTTTTATGTAGTGTGAAGACTGAGAATGAAAAAAGGAGATATTGATATCTAGCTGATCAAATGCTGCATTTCTTTTTTACAGGAAAAGCTTAACAACCCTGATTTTTCTTTACTGACAATTTTAGTTGAACATAGAACCGAAGGAGTTTTAATATGCCTTATTATGAGTGATTTACAGCATCTGTGCTGGCCTGTATTCAAGAAAAGATAATATGTTCTTTTTATACTCGTGAAGAGGATGAAGGAACAGTGTTGCTAGAAGAAAATGTTACGTGATTTCTGTGGCTGTTTTTAGGAGCAGGATTGTAGAAACAGGATGCACATCTCCTCACCGGCGTTCCTGGCAGGGCAGGCTCAAAGGCACAGGAACTCAGAGAGTGTCAAGCATCGAGGTGTTAGATGTGTGGATAATTCAAATGGGAAAATGTAGTTTATTAGATCAAAAGGGATCACTGCCTCAAGTGTCTCTTAAATCAGTGGCCGCACGTAGGCTCAGCAGAAATATTTCTCTGTTACATAATTTAATAGCACATGCAACTGTATTAGTTGATGTCCCACTCATCAAGCAGATGAAAGCAGGTCACTAAGATGGTTTCATAATAGTTTGCAATGATTAATTAAGGGTTTGGATAAAGTCAATGCAAATGATTCTGCTTACAGATGCAGTTAGGGTTAGATTCAGTTCGACAATGGTGCGGCAAGACACGCACGTGTTACCGGAGTGCAGTAAGAGGGGGGGAAGATCTTCACACACTGGGGTGATGTACAGCAGCTTTGTGGACCACTTTTGTGCATCTTCCTGTTTTCTGAAGGCTAACCTAAATCACTACTTATGATTGAGATTGATCATTGTAAAGCAGAAAGCTTTCATTTGGTTCTGTTTTGTTTCAGGTGTAGTTGGCAGGTTGGACACAGCATTCAGGATAACATGGCTTTGCATTTTGAAAATGTATTTATCTCTGAGTCTGTGATGAGTTTTGTTTAAACTGTTATTCCTTACTTGCTAAAGAGGGTAAATAATTCATATTTATAGTATAAGCTTTGTTTGATGTATATACTTTTGGGGTAGAGTTTGAACAGCAGTGGTTTATTGTATTCACTTCCATTTTGCCCTGCCTACATCCTCACTCTTTACAACAGGATCCATGTCTCTGAGCCAGCTGGAATAAATTTCCCCTCTTCTACTACCCATACATTTTAGTGTTTCATGTTAGTAGATCTGGCTTTGTTACTGGTGATAAGTGTATCTTACGCATACTGTGCATTTTTAGTTACAGCAGTTAAAAATGCCAATTGTAGTCCACTCTGAGATAAAAATAGATCTTATGGTTCCACTATCAGGCTATTTTGTCTTCAGAAGTTATTTTTCTCCTGTTTCTCCATTTCCTATAGACACACTAGTGACATTTCAAATTTCAGTCAATGAGGCCCATTTTGAATCAGTGTTTATTGCTATAAAATAATTCCAGTGTTATTGACCAATTTCTGTATGTTTACACTGATGAAAGTCTTACCTCTTCCAGTGAATTACTTTGGATTTACACTGGTGTAAAAACAACAAATTTGGCCATTGGTCTGTTTTGTAAATGTTACAATAGCTGTTACAGATTGCCTTCTGTCTTCTAATCCTAGTGTACTGCACCTATAAATTTTCCCCTTTGTTTTATTGTTCTTTTTGTTCTCGTGGTTGATTTTTAATTTTTATTAATTTATTTATTCCTCTGGACAGTTTTATTTCTCTTTACCTGTTATTTCCTTTTTAACCTATCTTTACCTTCCCTGTCATCTGATAATTCTGAATTGTTTGTCTGTATATAGCTATAGACATAGATGCTACTGGCTTAGATGCAGAAGAAAATGATATTCCAGCAAACCATCGCTCCCCCAAACCCAGTGCAAACAGTGTAACATCACCCCACTCCAAAGAGAAAAGAATGCCCTTCTTTAAGAAGGTAACATGGACTTCCAAGCTGCCATCTGTCCACCTGCTCACCTGCACTGCGTCACATTTCCAGTCCTGTTAACTGTCTGCGTCCTTTGACAAGCCAATAACATGCATGCTTTGTTGTTCTTTGTTTCTTTTCCATGCTGCTGTAGCTAAGCAGAAGCAGAAATCGGTAAGTTTATATTGACATTGCCTGTGTTTATCCTGCCACTGGCATCATTAGCATTGTTAGTCCACATTAACAATGCAGCTGTTCTAGAATTAAGGCTGAAGAGATGTGTTGAGCTGTTAGCAGATTCAGTAGAAGAAAATAGGCAAAAGTGCAGTGCATCTGTGAAACTGCTACAGTACTTACCCTTTTTGATGGAATAATAGGACACACTTAAAAGGCAGCCTAAAGTTTGGGAAAATTATTTCTTGGAAATCAATATAATGCACCTCTCTAGTGCATGTTTATTCTTCCTATACCTTTCTCAAGTTGTTTTTTTTTCTTCATTAATTGGTCTATTGAAATCATTAGTGGAATCTAGCAGATACCCAGTTTGTACTTAGAAAACCAATAGTCAAAATCGTTGTTTTTTAATTTAGCCAGTATTTCAGCTTCTAATTCATTAGGTGCAAAATCTGCAGATGCACAAGACCAACAGAAAACCTCAGACTTGTTTTGACAATTTACTTTGAGTTTTTCCTGTTGTCATGTATAAATTATCAGCCACATGTTCTTGCCATCCATCAGTCAGACTTTTTTAGTATCTCTGCTATTGGAAATGGTACTGGTGGTTCCCAGGAGAGCCAGTGTCTCTCTACAGATAACCCAGATAACTACAGAATTATGCAATTGGCATCCTGTTACAGCAAGTTCCAACACATTTCTGGGATCTTTGCTGGAATAAGTTAGCAAGACATTAGGTACCAGCCAAACTATGCATTGAAATACCATATTTCTGCATTTTTTGGTTTAAAATCTTTAGTCCTCATAGCACTTATGTTTGTTTTTAACCACTCACTTAAATCTGTAAGTAACTGTAGGTAAATCTACAGGACTCTTACAGTGCTAATAAACAGTGCCAAGTGAGAGTGTTGGCCCTGCTGTCAATGCTCTCATGTTTAGTAAACAGAACTTTGTTTCTGTCTCTCTTTCCTGCTTGAACTCTTTTAAAGAATGCTGAATACTTCTCTTTTCTGAAGTCACCACCACTGGCTTCAATAGGGTCTGTTAAGCCCACTGTGGAAATGGACAACACTTGCTTGCTTCTGAATAATTTCTTACTTAATCATATTTATAACCAGATAAAAATGACAAAGAAAAATAATACATGTTGACAGGAATTGGATACTGTCTGCATAAGCATCTTTTGAAGGTGCAGCTTCTTAGACCAACTACCTCAGACCTGCACAGTGGTTAGTCCCAATTCTTTCTTCCCCTCTGTGGTGCCTCTTTTCTTCCATATCATTATCATTACTGGTTATACTGGAGTTTGTAATACTGACATTTACAGTAAGTACTGGATGGGCATCCCAAAGTAATCTAGGCTGTCAAACCACTGAGCAAAAGCTATATTGTCAAAACTGCTGGTTTTTATTCTGAGTTCATATTTGAACTTGAATCTGCAATAAAAGTTGTATAGCTCAGTGCCAGTCTCTTAAAAAATCTTAGATTCCCTAATGTTAAATTAAAGAACTTTAGTGCTTCCATTAGATAACTTTTCCTCAATTTTCTGCTGACAGCTTCATTATTTCAAGCTGTAAAGAGCAGAGAAAAAAAATGCCTGTTTCGACAGAAAAGATTTTAAAAATACCCCATATTCCATCAAATAAGGTAATTTCTGTGCTTGCCCTAATTTTCAAGTAGTTGGTTAACTTCTAGCATGAATGCCTTGAGTTGAGCCAGCCACATTAATCAAAGATCTGTTGCATCAGAATGCTCATGCTATAAGCATGTACACATCTGTAATGAAGTTTTCTTTGAATCTGTCTCTAATACACTTAGCAATAATGTTAGCAGAGTGGAGGACTGTATTTTGATCCTGGCACAGCTTAATTGCAGGGTTTTGCTTTGAAAGGTGTCGAGTCAGATTCTGTACTGTGTAAAATGAATGTATTTCACATGCTTATGATGCCTTGGCCACTGGTAGTCATTCTTCTGTTACTAATTATCTGGTGAAACTACAGGTGACAAAAGCCAAGATACATGAAAGAACATTCACAAAAATATTTTCTGTTTGAGACTGCTTTAGACTGCTGCTTGTGTAGCATTGTGTGCTGTCACTGTATTAATGTCTGTCTTTGTGGGTTTGTGTTTTGGAATGTATATACTTATTTTGATGCTATTGTGAAACACCTTGGGATACATTTAGTACTGGAATAATGAACAAAGTCTGTATTCTGTGATCTTGACTGATGTATTTGTACTATGTAAGCATTTGAAAAACAGATCCAGCATTCCTTTTCTCCATATCACCCACACATTTCTGGGTTTGGGTTTCAGTCAGGTTTTTTTCCCCAAGACAAAGATAAACCAAAACCTCCCTTAAGAACAAAAACCTCTTTCTGATAAGACCCATTCTTGCTGATATATAATGAGTAGCCATTTATTAAAGAAGAAAAAACCCAAACCCAACAGTTCAATTTGTTTATATTGTATTTGATAACAATATAAAATTTCTGCAATCTTTGGAAGGAGGCAAGCTTTGTATTTTAAAATGCTTTTTAGAAATTGTGCATGATACATCAGTAAGTACTTTGGTAAATACCATACTAACAGAATCCATTCTTGGGTGGTGAGAGGAGCTTCCCAAAGTGGAAGAATTGCTATCCCAAGCTCTGTTTATGAAAATTTTCTAGAAATACTAACTTGATCAGTCTTTTTTTTTTCATTTCACTTGCAATTGAATTGCTGATACAAATGTAGAAGTCAGACTATGAGTGCTCCCCTGGGAATTTGCAGTGATGTCACAAGCAATGGGCAGATCTGAACATTAAAAAAAAAGAGGTGCTATCCCTGGGAATTTGCAGTGATGTCACAATGTTTTGTCAAGCAATGGGCAGATCTGAACATAAAAAAAAAAGAGGTGCTGTGTTTTTCCCGTTTGGTTTTGGGGGTTTCTTTCTCTCTCATAGTTTCCCACATAACATTTTGGTTGGAAACAGATGCCACAGCTCTACAAGTCAATCATTTCAAACCATTAAATGTTGGAAATTACCTTTTCAATGTACCAGTTGGGAGTTATGCAGCAGAGCATGTGAATGTCCCAGAATAACAGTTTTGTAGCTATCCAGAGCAAATGTAAAAACAGTAGGAAAACCTAAAAGAAAAGATTTTTCTAAAGAACCTCGTGTCCTTATCTTGTACTACCATTTTTTGGGAAGACATAATGACTTTGAGATTCCTGTGTTGGTGACATCCCTGGAAATTCAGAGTTCCTAGTATTGTAAGCAGTGTAGAACACTTTGTCTAGGTGCTGTGATGATGAAAACGTTTTTGTGTTTTGCAGACAGAGCACATCCCTCCCTATGATGTAGTGCCTTCTATGCGACCAGTAGTTTTAGTGGGGCCTTCTCTGAAGGGATATGAGGTAAATGATTGTTGTGAATGGTTTTCTTTTTGCCAAAATGCTGTACTTTATTTGTATTTGAATATTCAAAGGTGGTTAAGCTGAATAACATAATTTGTATCATAGGCACATATCTAGACAGTTTTTACTCCTGCTAAATAGCTGCTTATTTGTATTTTACTTCATGTCAGAATTGAGACTAAGACCAAATTGCATTCCACTCCTGTTGTTCAGATTTAAGATTTACTGTCAGCTTTATTATGTAATATTATTAGCATCAAGTATTATGAGTTTCCTATATGATTGTTAATTTGTTGTTTGTTTGCTCCTAGGTAACAGATATGATGCAAAAAGCATTATTTGATTTTTTAAAACATAGATTCGAAGGGCGGTAAGTACTTTGCAATGCAAATATACTAGAATTCAGGCTCTGTTTAGGGACTACCGAGTTTTTTAGAAATAATGGCACTGTAGAAGAATAGGAATGGCAGCTAATTCCTTGATCAGTGGACTCTAGTGTGGAATGGAAGTTCCCCTGGCAGAGCATGCAGGGGCTGTGTGGCAGTGGGAAGTGTTCAGGGGTGTATATCTGTTGAGAGCATTAAAAAGGTTGTCTTCTTCTTGATGACTGTGACATTCACACTCCAAATTGCTAGATATTTATCTAGACAGTTAATAAATGTGTCCTTTAAAAAATTATTTTAAGTATTTTTCGAGTGATTGTCAAACTTCTGATCCCTCAAGATATGAGCTTGCTCTAACAGCAGTTCTGGGCCCAATAGTGGGAAGGCCCAAAAGGACTGGGGTGAGGAGGTGGAGCAGTACTCCACCCTGCTAAAATAAAGCCTCCCTTGGTAGGAGACAGGCTGCACTCACTGGGCTCTGATCTCAGCATTCTTAGGCTGTACCAGGCAAGATCCAATCTGATTTGTGTTTGAGCCTTCGGATGTTACTCTAGTACAGATGTCAAAGGATAATCTGTCTCTGAAAGTAATGGCATGATCTGTATCTCAAACATCACAGGCCCATGGAGCAGAGACATCAGGTGCATTCTCCACACATGATTGTATTGCTACTGGATCAAGCTCCAGAGTCATATGTGCTAATGGATTGACTTTGGGGAGGGGAGGGAGAGGGAGAATTTGAGAAAACAGGAAGGTCTTATTATAATGTCTGTAACTTCAAGGAATGTTCTATTTAGTTTGGAAGTAGACAGATCAGTAACACTATTCTCTCTGCCCTGGTGCTGTCAAAACCTTCACGAGGGAGCTGAAGGTTTTCTGTCAATAGCTTCAGCTCTTTTCAATACAAGACACTGTGGTTTAAGATGTTGGATTTTCTCAGTCAGAATAATAATGCTGATACCTAACCACTTTACATCAGGGTTGTCAAATCTTGGTATGTACCTATAGAATTGGAAGTTAACAAACCAGTGATTGTTACAAGCAGAAAAGACTTACTGCATCTTGAAGCATTTTAGAGTGTATCTGATTTTTAGTTGTAGATCCTATTGTGGCAAGGTGAATCCACAAATACTCTCAATATATTTGATGTCTATAGTGGTAGATTTGAAGAGCCTCAAACTTCAGTAGCACTCTGAGTTGGTGCTCAGGGTCCTGAAGGAATTTGTGCAGGAGGTTCTTAGATTGATGCTACTGCTTCCAGCAGCCACACTGCTGCCCCAGTCTCACTGCAATTGTTTCACTACATGAACCCAGATACCCTCTGTTTTGAGAGCAGAATGGTCTTCCTGGTGTGACATATCTCAGAGGACATTAAAATGAACCTAGAAAGATGTTAAAAGATCTTAAAGTGAAAAATAGCATTTTTCATAGACACAGAAAATAGTCTGATAAGTCCAGCTTTGTTCAATATATCATAATTGCATTTAAAAAAGGCAAATATTTTGCATGTAGGAAGGAAGACTGGCAGGGAAAAAATCCAAATCAAAACAAACAAAAAAAACCCAAAATGCAAAAGTTTACAGTGTTCATCCATTAGTAAATAAAGATAACTAGTGAGTACCCCAGTGTGCATGTTGGATTTCATCTTAAAACAAATGGCATTATCTGTGAGGAGCTGTGCCAGAAAACACAATCTTTGGTTATGTTTTTAGCTTAAGTTAAATCATGTCTAAATTTCCAAAATTATGCTGCTAATCAGTGTTGTGCAAATAATTCTGTTTTTCTGTATTAACTTCTGGCTTTGTTACATTTTTTGGGTTTTAAATAAGAGTATACACATGTTGAGCTCTTGGGAAATGATCTGTTGGATTAAATTTTAGATGAACAGCATCTGAAAGTGCTTGCTAGAAAGGAGCCCTCCCTGTTCTTAGCAAATCCATTTCCTCCTTTTAAATTGCAAACAAAATTCTAGAAGGAAGAACAAGGGAATATCATCAGTCTGACTTAACTCTCAGCACTGGAAAAATGTGACCCCTAAGCCTTGTTAGACCAGAGAGTTTGAAAGGGAAATCAAGGGTGCATTTTGACCCTGTAAAGCAAAACAAACCAAAGTAACTGTTTTGCTAGGAAGAAGAATATGCAGAAGGTTATGCAGCAGGTCAGTGCAAACAACTGAAAGTAACCACTTCTTTCTTGGCTCATCTTTTCTCATAAACACAAAACTGAGCCTGCCAGATACTCAGCCCAGAGTTTTCAAGTACATGCTTCTCTGTATTACAGTTCCCATTGTTAGGTGGCCAGCATATTGCTGCATCTTTCTGGAAAATTACATGTAACTCCTGCACTCTGTCAAAAAACACATGCTAGTAAAACAAGCAAAAAAAGAAGAGTTACTGGTTTCCCTGCTACCTTTAGCATTTGGTTCTGCATATCTCCATATGTCTCATACATATGGCTAAAGTAAGCCAGGTTGTCAGTCAGGACTGTTGAAGAAATCAGGGAAAGGAGAAACCAGTCTGTTCATACTGGGGATCCTGGTGCAGACACTAACCTCATCAGGCCGAGAGATCCCAGGGACATCCCATCTTCTGCAGCACATCTCTGACCTCCCTGTGCCTTCCCTCTCCCCAGGCACGTGTGGCTTTGCAGGCAAAGGTCATACTGCATTTGGGGACTGTTTAGAAGGGGGTTGTCTTATCAATAGTTCTTGTAGCAGTATTAGATGAAGTTTTTTCTCTGTTCACATTACACAAATCATACTGTGCTGCTGAGAAGAAAGTTTTTTCCTGTAGTCTTAGCCATCTTCTAGTGTTCAATGAGAATTCTCCCCACATCTCTGAAAGACAAATAACATTCTGTTCCATTCTACTGCCTTTATTTCTGCAGTATATCAATCACACGAGTCACAGCAGACATCTCGCTTGCCAAACGCTCAGTACTGAACAACCCCAGTAAGCACGCGATAATCGAGCGATCGAACACAAGATCAAGCTTAGGTAAGTACCTGGAATGATGCTATCTACAAACTGCCTGTAAAGTATACTGCTCTGAATTCATAGGTGTAAGCTAAAAATAGCCTTCTCTCTGCTATGAGAATATCACAATTCCCATAATTCAGAAATCCTGGTATTAGACATCATTTTAAAATCATTACCAGGTAAACTTCATATAGTCCTGATTTTGGTTTATCCTGCTTATGCTCAGTTTCCATGTTTTTTTGTTTGGGTAGAAGTAGCCATCCATAAGGTAAATAAAATCTGAAGACATGTTCTTCTGGTTAAATATAAGTGAGAGTTTCCAAATACTTGAAATTTTATGGATATTATTGATATCATGCTTTATCTTTGCTTTATGCATTATCTTTGATAAGATTGCTAGTAGTGATAGCTACTGATATGAGGTCTGAAAAATTTTATGAATTTTATATCAGTTTAAACTAATCTTGAGGTTGGTACGCAAAAAGAATGATGCAAAAGAGGAGATGTTTCTAAAAACTGTATAGCTAAGTTCATAGAATATATATGTCATCTTACATGAGTCATTTTGTACTGATGTTTGTCCAGTTATATAAACAATTAAACATTTATTAGCCAGAAAGAAAAACAGGCTTAGCTGGAAAGTTGTAGCTAAATGTTACCATCTACAGTAGAGGTGACTGCAGTGGAGCTTGTCATTCCAAGGTGTCCTTAGAGCAAAGAGGAAAAGGTGGTCACTTGGGAGTCCTAATTCCAGACTGACCTTAGCCTTTCCTCGAGCACAAGGTGTATTATATCCAAGTCTCTGCTGCTGCTGCTCCTGCTGGTGCATTCCCTGTGTAGAGACATCTGGAGCCAGCCAAGGAGTCTAGTGGAAGGTGTCTCTGCTCATGGCAGTGGCGTTGGAGCTAGATGATCTTTAAGGTCCCTTCCAACCCAAACCATTCTATGATTCTAAAATTAGAGCTCTCAGCTGAGACACAGGACATGACTCCTCTATCTAGTCCTGCTCAAAAAAAAGGCAGAACTTGCTAGATCATAGGTGAGTACTCTGATCACCTTTACGACGTTACAGGTTTCTCGACAGCCTTTGAGAGAGCTGGTTTTCCCCAGCACATGCCATTGTATCTTGAAAACTTGTAAAATTTTGTGTAACAGGAAACATGTTTCATTCATTCTATTAGATGGATTCTTTATCAGTTTTATGATAAAAAAATTCTGACTACATCTATGCCATGACTCAATATTTAACATTGGCCTAATGTAGTTGTCCTTCTTAGAATAAGCTTCTCTGCCTTAAAAAGTTTAACTTCCCTTTCTTGAAAATTAAAACCTTTGCTTTCAGCTGCTTGGAGGCTGTGAATTTTTGCTTGCAAGTAGTCTGATAGCTTCCAAGTGAGTGTTTTCATATACTAAAATGCAGTGTATTGTAACAACACAATGAATATCTTTACACACAAAGTATTATTCTATGTGAATTTCAATCTTGTCACTAAAGTCTGTTTAGCAATCTAATGAAAAGACAAAGTGTCACTTGTTTTGAATAGAACTGAAAATTGGTAATAAGGATGGAGGTCACCCAGTCACTGAACAAACTGAATCATGATGATTTTCCCAACCTGATGATCAAAGTGTGTGCAATTTTTGCAATACTGCACAAATATATGCAGCAGTGAAACACATATCATCTATTCCTTGGGCTAAAACGTTCTCATGTATCTAAAAAGCAGCTATCACAAAAATTTACAGTGAAAAAAGATCTATAAAAATTAAATTCTGCCCAGTCTTCCACACCTCTATCTCATGTAGAACCTTGCCCTTGAGAGCATCAACATCTTTACTTTGTGTCAAGGTACATTTTTGATAGTGTTTCAAAATGGAAGTTCTGACAGTCTCAGCTGGAGACACTGAAAAGATGACAGAGGTTATATATATATCTGTAAATATGTGATAGATAGATATGTCTCTCTGGGTTTTGTAACATGCCTGTTATTATTAACCAAGATTTCCTGTTATATATCAGGTTTCAGTTACTTATAATTGTTCAAAAAATTAAATGATTTATGAAATAATTTTGAAGTATCTTGAGAAATATTAGATAGAGCAACTGGGCCATTTTAACAATGAAGTTTATTCCTACATCTGGTATTTAAAAGTGTTTTTTCATTGTAGCAAATATTGCTCCCCAACACATCTTTATGTTGATCCAAATCCCTCCCTCCTTCCAGCTGCACCAGGAAGCTATTCCTTTACTCACCCACCTCATGCAGCTAAACCACACCACTGGTTTAGCCCTCAGTTCTGCTCACAGTTGTGAGCAGCAGTGGTAACTGCAGCAGAGAAGGCTATTTCTTAGACTTCTGAAAATACATTGTTGGTTTTAAAGTATTATTTTAATAAATGTTCTATCAATTAGTTACTATAGTACAAAAGTAATGTGCTTGATGTATTCATGCCAAATACTTCTTTCCTGGGCAGTGAGTGAACCTCTCTTTGACAGCTCTTACTTTTTCACCCAATATAGGTTTATGAAATTGTGCATTTTTTTCATAATTGTGCATAGCACAGGAAACAGTGGAGCGAGTGCCATTATTTGGAACTGATTTAATAGCTACCCCAGAATTAATTTCAAAGAAGCACAGACAAACAGCATGGTAATCAGGAGTAGGAATAGCCACGAGGAACTGGATTTACAGAATTCTAGGGGAGTCTCAATCAGCTTAATGCTACACATACCTATCGACTGACAGTTTGCTTTTGTAATGGAATCAGTTAAAAATAGACTTGGGATTTGACTCATTGGAAACCAATACTACCACTGAATATCTACTATAAAATTAATATATTCAAGAATTTTATAAAAATAATGTCTGGCTTGTAAAGATTTAGGAGGACAGTACAGTCTTATTCCTTTCCTATATGAAAGTCTGGTTTGTATATAAAGAGAAATGTTTGTTTGTCAATACTGTTACATGTTTAACCTGAAATGCTAGGATGAAATTTAAGGAAAGGGCAAGTGATTGATTTCTTTAAAAACCTAGAAGAAATCTGTGATTTTGAGCAGACTTCTTTCTCCAAGAAGGTACAGTACATGGTTAAACCTCATTCACCCTCTGAAAATCAGTCCCAATTGAGTTAGCTAAATTTTTATGTGGACACATGCCATGAAACTGCTGTAGCTTTGTGCTTTGGCTGCATTTCTTTGTCAAAAGAACCCAAACCTTTTTCTGTGTATGTTACACTTGTTATAACCTTACCTCATGCTGTATGCTTTGTACAAAACCTGATTGTCTTGGCTTTTTCCATTCTTTGCTTCATTAATGCTCTCCCTTTCCAGATGTTTTAGGTATGTATACAAGCTTGCAAATTACTTTTCCTGCTGTTTTGTGTTCAGTGCTTTATTGTACCTCACAGAATCATCGTGTGTTTCTCACAACTGGCTCACTGACAAAAGCCAATCCTGTACTGCATTGCTAAGTATTTATTTTAGAAAACCTTGCTGGTTTTCTTTATTTATTTTCAAGTGATTCTAAAAAGAAAGTCAACATTGACAAGTAAATGCTAAAGATTAGGTATTCCACTGTGTATTTCCAAGGTGTGTGCACCTAATCTGCATATTGTAACACACGTTTGAATGTTGATGTCAAATGTGTCATCATGTGTATGGTAAGTTGATCGTGGTCACATGCCTGGGAATCCCTTTCTTTGCTTTCTGTGTGCTTATGCAGTCACCTGTCAGGCACTCCATGCACCCAGTTTGCATGTGCATTGAGTGCCTCCTTTGGAGAGTTATCTCTAGGAAATGTATGGAGCTCCCATTCCCATTGTCAGGCTGATATCCCAAAGTTTAACCTTCTGAAAATGAAACTTAAATGTGTGAAGTAAGAGTAGTGGATTACTGGTGCAAATTGCAGCCTTGTGTCTTAATTTTCTTCTTGTGTGAAAAGTCAGTTGAATGCTTGAAACTATGGTAACAATTTATTTGTTTTATATGTATGCGTTTATGGGTATACAGATGTATATACATAATATATACATATATGATAATGTTATTACATATTCTCCATGTTTGGTAATTTAGTGACAGTTGTTGTATATGATGAGGTTCAACTAAATGCTTCTCCAACTATACAACTATAAATCAAAGATGAACTTAAAAGAGTGCTAGCTAGGCCTCATAAAAATCCTTCATTACTTATATGGGCCATGGAAAAGGAATGCAAAATTTGGATTCACCCAAGAGTGTATTTCCTTTCCAAAGTGTCAAGTATCTAATATAGTTCAAAGAAAATAAAAAAGGTGTTCATTGTGTTATGGAAAATCCTGATTGTCCCTCTAGAATTTTATTTTCAAGATAGTTGGGTCAAATGTCCATAACTCTCAATTTCAGGCATTAAATCTTCAGCTATGTTAATCTGTGAAACCTGAACCTGCCTTGAGCCAGAATGCTGAAATATATCAGCTAAGAGCTTTTGGGTTTTCATAAGGATGTAGCTACACTTCCTTTTGCACACAGACGGGGAGTGAGTAGCATGAGGTTCCTGAACCTGTTACAGTTTTTCAGTCTCACATGTCCCAAAATGCTCTTTTATCCTGCTGGGCCAGCCTTGATTTTCTTAACATCTAAGGTCAGAGTTTCCCTCATGAATTCTTTAGGTAATTGTGCATTAGAAGTTTGGTACTAACTTTCCAATATTCTAACTTGCAAATAAGTTTTTGATACAGTATTACCAAAGCATTTTTATGAAATTTCCTGTGTGTTTTCAAAGGATATATGGGGGGAAATTTTGTCATTTCTGTAAATTAGAGGTAACTCTCAGCAACATGCCCCTATATTTTCTCATGATACTGCACAGAAATATATGTGATTTATAATGATTCTGAAACAAAACATGTGCTAGGGACAAAGCAATATAGCACTGTGTTAGAATAATTTTTAAGGTTACAGATATCTGAATAATAACCAAGATACTTGGACAGGTGAATGAAATATTTTTAGCCAGTTAGCTGTTTGTTTAAGA